TATTAGCTGAAAAAAAGGTGATTTTTCTGGGGTAAGAATACATTTTTCAGCCCAAATCTCTGAGATCTCAGATCTGGAAACCAGCTTTACTTTTCTAAACTTTACTTGATCAACTCTGGTTAACAAAGAATTTCCTCTCAAGGTCATGAAAATGTAGAATAGTTCCAGGATCATCAGTGATGCTCAGAGCTAAACTGTTTTTTTGTTACGCCTGTTAGAAAAACTGGAAAATCTCAATTTTTATTCCTTCAGAAATGTTTGAAAAAGCTGTTTAAAAAAAAACTAGTTCTAGAGTTAACTAAACTAGAGTTAAAGCCCAAAGAGAAAACCTAAAGGCTCCTTTTTACTCTCAGAATCAGACTAAACTTCATTTCTCTGCTGTGATAGCAGTTTCCATTCTTCAGTTAAATTCAGTTCATTTATCTTTCCTGCCTCCACAGAGACACTTTCTTCTATTAAAATGCTGTCTCGTGCACTTATGGTGCAGAAAAATGTCCATATTAAGAGGAGAATTTTGACCAAATGGTTCTTTTTGTCATTTATTTTTGTTGTTTTGTGTCTTTTGATATCAATATAAGGAATGTTTTCTCCTTTACTTCAGATGTCTGCATTTCCAGAACCACTGAGAACCTGAGAACCATCATCTGGCCTCTGTTTGGTTCTTTACTTTATGAACCTGGTTCTTAAAAAGCTGCATGTAAATTAATTCAAGTCTTCACGTTTTATATTGGAGAGAATTCAAATTGCATTACGTCTATTCCATGCTCAACATTAGAGAGTTTGGGCCTGAATTTCAACCTTTTATTTATAGTTCTGCTGGATTTTGGAGCCGGATCTCATTTTCCTGAACGTTTAGGAGCGCCCACGTGGAGCTCTCAGATTTGCATCCCTGGCGTTTGACGACAGTTCAAGCTAAACGATCCGGGAATAATTCCTGGCACGTCTTCCTGAGAAAGGTGTGAGGATCCGTACTGAACCTTCCGGCTGAAGCTGCCCGAGCCGTGAACGCATCACCCCCCGGTGCGGATTGGCGGAGCGCAGCGACACTGACTGCGTGCCGTGTTTTTGCGTCCGAGCAGCTGCTGGTTTCGATTTGGGGGGCGGGTTGCATGTTAAATATGACGATGAGCTAATCCCCTCCCATGCGCCGGGGGGGCGGCTCAAAACCTGAGCGCCATCTATGAGACAGACGCAGTTTGCTCTGGCAGGATCGACGCAGAGCTTCGCTCTTTACGCGCGGCGCGTCCGCGGCTTTACGCGCGAGTCCGAGCAGCTGTGTGCCACGCGGGGCCGGTTTCACGAGGGAAATCCATCCTCCTTCTCCCCCCCATTTCGTAGGACTCTCCTCCGCCGGCAGATTTCCCCCCCAGGACGCGCGTAAAACGGATGCGATGGAGAACCTGACGTTGACGTCCCCCCCGGACCGGAACGGGACTCTGTGGTCCCCCCCGGACCGGAACGGGACTCTGGGCCCCTGGGTGGACGGCGGCGTGCCCTACAAGGTGGTCAGCAGCCTGTTGCTCCTCGTCATCTGCGCGTGGGGGATCGTGGGCAACGTCATGGTCATCCTGGTGGTGCTGACCACCAGACACATGAGGACGCCCACCAACTGCTACCTGGTCAGCCTGGCCGTGGCGGACCTGATGGTCCTGACGGCGGCCGGGCTGCCCACCGTGGCCGAGAGCCTGTTCGCCGGCTGGGTGTTCGGCCGCTACGGGTGCCTGGGCATCACCTACTTCCAGTACCTGGGCATCAACGCGTCCTCGTGCTCCATCACCGCCTTCACCGTGGAGCGCTACATCGCCATCTGCCACCCCATCAAAGCCCAGTTCCTGTGCACGCTGTCCCGGGCCAAGAGGATCATCCTGCTGGTGTGGGCCCTCACCTCGGTCTACTGCGTCATGTGGTTCTACCTGTCCGACCTCCAGGAGCTGGTCTACGACGACGTCACCGTGGTCACGTGCGGCTACCGCGTCCCCCGCCGCCTCTACCTGCCCATCTACTTCTTCGACTTCGGGGTGTTCTTCGTGCTGCCCCTGCTGCTGTCCGCGGTCCTGTACGGCCTCATCGGCCGCATCCTCTTCCTCAGCCCGCTGCCCGCAGAGCCCAGGGACAAGAAGAAGAAGAAGAACGGCGCCAGCTGCAGGAACTCCTGCCACTCCAGCTCCACCGCCACGTCCCGCAGACAGGTGAGCGCACGCGCGCCCCACGACGCGCGTAACGGAGCCGCCAAGAGCCCCAAAACGAAGCCTCACGTCTCTGAAATGACCACCGATTCAGATATAAGCGCCACATAAAAACGTAATTCAAACAAACCAGCTGTCAGATAATAGAACAAATAAAAACGTGGACAAAAATAAGGAAAAAAGAATCACTTTAGTGATGAATGTTCAACCTCTGTTATCTAAAAGGAAAACCAACATTCGCAATGGGATTTGTTAGAATTAGAATGAATGAATGAATAAATAAACAAAACGATGCTGCCTCCATAAGCCATTCGGTCTCATGGAAAACCTTCATGTAACTTATCAAAATGCAATTAGTTGGCTGAAATCCACAATTTTACCAACTAAAGGGAGCTTTAAATCTAATTTTGTGTCCCAATAATCCTTAAAAAGGGACATTTTGGAACAGAGCATCATGATTGATTCAAACCTTAAGCAGCTCAATTTTCAGGGTCAAACATAACCTAATTGTGTTTTTCTGTGTAAAAACACATGAACATTTTGAGTATAAAGCATGAAAATGTGGTTTATCGGCTATGAAGCAGCAAAATGTGACACTGCGTCACTCTGTGAGGTTTTTTGTTGTGTC